TGTCAAGATCTCACAGGTCCAAACTGCTCAGGAAGCAAAGGCCAGCACAGTGCCACATGCTGTGCAGATTAGTAATCGGCATGTTAACCAAACTCCAAACTTGTATTCCCACAAAACCTGTTTCCAGTTGGTTATCAGCTGCTGTCAGCAGGCCGCCATGCAGAACACATACACAGCAAGTGAATCCACAAGTGAAACTGTAAATCTTGCAAAAAAGTGTGGGATTTCATGAAGCAGATGAGAGCAATACTGAGAACCCAGCAGTGGATGACCGCAGAGACACAGAACAAATGTAAAGGAAGTGACTGGGACCTTCCCAAAAGAAAGGTGGGGCCTTCAAAGGATTCAGAGTGATCCTCAGGTTTAAGGAAGCCCTCAAATTTTTGCAAAAAAAGCATCCTCTAGCTAAAAAAAAAAGTGTTAGAAGGGAAGGATGCTTACATACCCAACTACGTTAGGGGAGAAAAAAAAAAAAAAAAGGCCTTCAAATATTAGCATTCGATTTCATTCTTCACTCTAGCTTGTGCGTGGTTGAGATTACAATCCATATTTTTAGTGATGGGGTAAAATAAACATCGTCATTTTTACTTTTTCGAGGTAATAACCCATCCCAGCGGGGTTCCCTTTAATTCTGTTAAGTTTTGGGTCCTCTTTTTAAAAATACATGCACCTTCAAACGGACTTCCAGGGTACAGGATGCGATCAGAAGACATCCTCTCAACACTCCTTGCCTGTCAAAACAGCAGTCACCCTACTGCCAAGACAGAGGAAGCCCTAAAGGGTCCTGCACGTGTCCCTTCGCCCCCAAGCACCATAGAACATCTTAAAGAAGTCTCCACAAGTAGGGCCAGGTCCCCACTATTCCCAACAGGCGTAAGGTTGATTTGGCCAACGCTTTTGTTGTACAGAAAGGGAAACTGAGCCCCAGGGAGGGCACAGACTCCTTGGCCCACGTCTACTGGGTTACATCGCTGGCACTTGAAAGAACGCAATTAACAAAAGTCAAGAGTCACCGCTCCTCCACCTGGGAGCTGGGGACCGCGGTGCCCACTTCTGCCCCGGGACACCTAGCATGTCGCTGGCGCTCAGGCAACCTAAGACTTCGGGAAAGCAAGCCCCGTGGCCCCCGATCTGCTTTCGGGTCCCCGCCAGCGTCAGCCCCCACGCGAGGGTGGGGCCTCGTCGGGGTCCTGCTGCTCTCCAGCAGGGCCCGCCGCCGCGGCCCGCGCCCCGCTCCCCTCGCCCCTGGCCTGCAGTCAGGCTGGAGTCCCCCAACCCAGTGACTCCGCGGGCCGGGGTCGCAGCCGGGCCACGGCGGGCGCTCGCGCCGGGGTCCCCGCCGCCCCCCCTTCGCCTCCCCCCGGGAGGGAGGAGGAGACTCGGCGGCCCTCCCTCGGCCCTCCCGGCGACGGCCGCAGCCAGCCCCGTGCCCGCTCCACCCAGCCGCGGCGGGCCCACGTCCGGAGCCAGCGCCAGCCCGGCCGGAGGTGAGCGGGGACCGCGGGGTGGGACGCGGGAAGCCACCGCGGTGCGGGAACACGCTCAGGGCGCGAGCCTCCCGTGGGAGGGAAGGAGTTAAGTTGGGGGCGGACTGGAGGAGAGGGGAGCATGGGGGCGCCCGCAGCAGCCCCCAAACTCAGAGCAGAACTTTCTGGCCCCCTCCCCCGGGGGACTCCCCCACCTCCCGGGGCTCCGGGCCTTGGCGAGGAGGGGCAGTGGGGGAGGGGGCCGCCCTCGGAATGTCGCGGGCGGGGGCCCGGCGGGCGGGAGGGGGCGGCGGGCGGGGGCGGAATGTGGAACTCTCCCGGGGGACCCAACGTGGTCACCATGGCGAATGCGGGATGGACGGGCGGCACTGGCCAATCGGGGCGCGGAGTCCCGCCCAGACTCGCGGCGGTGGCCAATGGGGGCCCTTCGGTAGGATGGGTGGGGCCGCCCCGCGCCGGCCGGAGACCCGCGGGCCGCCGCTAGGGGGCGCTGGGGGGCGCACAGGACCCGGGCGATAGCAAAGGGGGCGGCGAAGTGAGGACCAAGGCGACTGGGGAAGCTGGAAACTAACTTCTGGAAGGAGTTGGGGCAGGTGGAGCCACGGCTTACTGCGAAGGGAAGGGAGGGGGCCTCAGTCGCCCCACCGTTCCCGGGGTACCAGCGTTGATCGCGACTAGCCCGTTCTTCACCCGGGGCTGCGGTTTGTCTGCCTTAAGTGGGGATAGTAACCCTGTCCACCCCACTCTCCGTAGCGATGGTGGGGGTTGGACTGGTTCGGTTTAGCACGCGTCCTGCCGCCTCTTGGTTAGATCTTTTTAGGAATCTTATTAATGTCTTTCTCTACCCTGTAGGTAGGTAAACTGAGGCCCTGAGAGGCCAGGGACTTGTCCACTGGTACCTGAGGACTCCATTTTATAGGTGCTCCCAGAGGCATTGTCCCCTTAAGGTGGTCATGACCCAGGAGAGAAGGCAAACCAACCCCAATACCCCAGCTCCCTGTCCTGGTTTTGCTGCTGGTACACGATGTGTGGGGACACATAGCTGTCCTTCTGGACCTCGGTTGCCCCATCTGTAAAGAAAGGAGTTCCATTCTGTCATCTAGGATATCACTGTGGCTCTTCAGTCTGTGATGGGGGGCAGCTGGGAACAGCCAGGGTGCCCACTGCTGGGCTCAGTTCCAGCCTGGAGACCAGTTTTCTGGCCTCCCAGTTCTCCTCTGGAGGTCCAGCGGCTGGAGTGTAGGCAGCAGGTCAGAGGGACAGGTGCCCACAGCCTGCGGCCTGACCAGCCGTGGGCCCTACACTTATCCAATCAGGCTGTTCTCTGTGGTTTCCTGCTGGGCTCTGCTCCCTGCCCGCAGCCAGGCCTGTGGCCCTGGGCTTGCCCCACAGCCCTACCTGAAAGGTTCTGGGAGGACACAGGGGGTTTTGAGTGTTCTTGGGAGGAGCAGTCAGTGCTTCTGGGCCCCCCATCCCGTCAGCTGGCCGCAGTCCAGGTCTAGCATTGCTCACAACTCAGTGGATATGGAGAGACGTACCCATACATATTAAGGACAAAACACAAAGTTGTCACGCTTCCTTGGGCAAGAGGCCAGACCCTGAGTGGCCATGAGATCACCTCTGATTCTGACCTGGTCACAAACAGGTTCAGACACCTACCTGTCTTAGAGCCTGGCTGAAAACCGACTTCTGATTTTCAAGATGGCTCAACCCTTCCACACTGTCCCTGGTCACAAGGGGATCCTAATAGTAGCATGGTCCCTCTTCTATCCATCAGCCCAGGTAGCATTCACACGGCGTCTGCTGTAAGCTGGGCTCTGCAAGACCACATGCTCTCATGGACTTCACAGTGTGGCCATGACTGAAACCCAGAGAGGCACCTGGTGCTTGGGGGCACTAACACTCTGCACACAGAGATTAAGGGAGGCTTCCTAAGGGAGTGGATGCTGGGGTTTTGAATGCTCTGCAGGAGTTTGCTGATGGAGAAAGGAGGGAAGAGACATTCTAGACAGATCTGTGAACAAGAGGATCCTGGTCTTTTTCTGGGGGCAGGGCTGCTGAGGCTGTAGCCTGTAGTGAATGTTGGATTCAAACCTTCTTGCTTTTGTTGTGGGACAGGCAGTGAACACAACAGTGGGCTGGGATTCCCACTCAGATCCACTGCCCACTAATGGAATACAAGATCATGGTTCACCTTCCTGCTCTCCATCCCATCAGCCAACTTTAAGCAACTGCTGTATGCAGAGCCTGTCCTAGAAGCTCTAGGTTGCCCAAGTGTCCCTTCTGGGTGGGTGAAACCCGTACTGTAAAATGAGAGGGCAGCTGGCCAGGTCTGACTGTGGGAGGTTACTGGGCTGTGCCCCCCAGGTGGGGGATGGGAATGGGGACATCAAGGCATTTCCTGGTGGTGGTGGCAACTGATCTGGAAGATTGGGTGGGGGTTTTGGAGAGTGGGAGGGGCACTCGGAATGCTCAGGGTAGCTTGAACAGAAACCCAGGGAGGCAGTAGCGGGGAGGGCCTGTGGTGGCTGGGCCCACCCTGACCTGCTCCTTGGGGGTGGTGACACCCTAAGGGAATCAACCCGCCACCCACACATAGGAGCTCCCCATGCACTGAGCCTTGTGGTGGGAAGGGGAAGGTGAGGTGGTGGGTAAGGTGTCACTGCTGGAGCCTACCTGTACAGCTGTTCTCTGTGCCTCAGCTGCATGTGCCCCCTCTGGGAGTCCCCAAGGCTGTTATGGAGGGGGTGGCATTGCTAGACAGGTCTGGCTGCCCTTGGGTCTACGCACACGTGCAGGATTTCTGCTGTGCCAGTGGGATGGGCTTCTCCATAAACCAACCTGAGGACCTCTGCCCCCACCCATCCCCACACGCATGCGCACACCTCTCCAGGCCCTGTAGGGGAAAGGAAGGAGGCTTGTTCCCCAGTCTCCCTGCTCCCGCTGCTCCAGCCCCCAGGAGAACCCTGCCAGGCAGCTGGGAAGGGGAACAAGGAATGACTGGAGCCCCCACCCCCACCTCTTGCGTGGGTGCCTGGAAGCCATTAGGGGTCTGGGTGGCGCCTGCCCTGCCCCTGCGCCACCGGCTTTGGATTCCTGGAAGGAATCAGCACCCCGGTCCTGGCCAAGCCCCACGCCAGGCCTGGCAACTTCAGAGGCAGAGGATGTGGAGTGCCCCTCCCTGCCACATGGCTACCTTAGGGGCTACAGGAAGGGCCCTGCAGACAGGCTGGGCCAGCACCAGCGGGAGGGCTGTGGGGCTGCCACTGGGTTTCCGCCACCCCTCCCCCTCTCCGCAGACGCACACATTGTTTTTCTTTTCCAAGAACTTCTCCATGTGGAGTTGGGCCAGGAAGATGGGGAGAGGAGGCATGTGAGTTTTGTGTCCGCTTCTAGGGATGAGGACATCTTTGTGTGTTCTGTGGGTAGGCTGACATGATGTGTGTCTGCAGGTGAGTCTGAGTCTACAGGTGAGCTTCTCCATGGACCATGTAGTTGTGTGTGCACGTGGGTCAGTCTCGTTGTGTTTTGCTGGTGTGTTTATGTGCATGGGATTGCATGTGTGTCTGCAGAGGTGTCTGTGTGTGCACAGATGTCTGGGCACCAGTGGACCTCAAGGCCAGCTACCCCACTGTACAGGCAAAGACCCTGATCACAAGGGCACTTGGCCTGCTAGGGATCCCTCTGGAACTGGGGCCTGGCTCTGTGTGGCTGCACAGGTGGGGTTGGCTCAGGACAAGTGTTTGTGTGTATGAAACTGGGTGGTGAGAAGGTAGCACCACATAAAATACTAAAATGTCCCAAACTTGGAACTCCTAAAATTCCCAGGCTCACACCTCTTGAGCATCATTGTCTGGGCACTAGGGCCAGGCAGCTGCATTTCAACTGTCCAGATAAATCTGAGGCAACCTCATGAAGAAGTGCCGAGCTCCAGCCAGGCATGGTGGCACTGCCTGTAATCCCAGCTACTCAGGAGGCTGAGGCAGGAGGATCACAAGTTCAAGATCAACCTGGGCAACTTAGTGAGATCCTGTCTCAAAGTTTTAAAAATAAAGGGCCAGGGCTCAGTGGAAGAGGACTTGCCTAGCATGTGCAAGGCCCAGGTGAAAGCCCCAGTACTGCCAGCCGTGGGGGGAGTAGGACTTTGCTTCCTTTCTCCTCTCCCATTGTACAGGGAGGGGAACCGAGGCCTAGAAAGACCCAGAAGTTGGTGGCAGAGCTGGGCCTAGAGTACCTGTCTGGTGAAATAGTAAACAAACAGCCAGAGGACTAGAGGAACGTAGCAGGGTCCCTGAGGAGCCACGACACAAAAGTCAGGGATTTAAAGTGGTGGTGCAAGACCTGGGACGCCTGGCTGTGCGGGCGAAGGCAGGAGCAGGAAGAGGTGCAGAGCAGCAGCGAGGCCAGCATTTGCCTGGGGAAGGGGCTGTTGGGTTTTGCAAGGGAGAGATCAGGACCATGGAGTATGAGCCCGGTTAGAAGACAGGGCGGTGCAGATGACACGCAGGGGCTCCGTGGGCCGTGGCTCCTTTGCCACTGAAGACCTGCTGGAGGGCCCCGGAGGAGGGGGGGGAGTGAGCCTGGGATTGAAGCGGGAGAGGGGTTCTGGCTTTTGGTAATGAGCGAAGGGGCGTGAGCGCCAGGCTTGGGTCCTTAAACAGCCACTCCAGCTATTGCTGTGGACAGTGGATTTGAAGGAGTTGAAGTATGAGAGAGATGGCCAGGCACGGGCAGCAGGAGAAGGGCCCAGGCTGCTGGGTGGCAGCAGCACTGAGGGGCACCCCTGGGAACTGACCAGTTGGGCTGAGAGGAGCAGCCAGAGGGAGGGAGGACAGCGTCCTGAAAGAGGCATGCAAGCAAGAGGAGCGCTGGTGTGCCAGGAGCTAGAGAGGACATGGTGACACAGTGGGGTGGCCCATGAGAGGCCAGGGAGTGGATGGAGGGAGGACAGCAAGTGTGGGCCACTCTGTGTGGCCTTAAAAGGGAGAAGAGAGGGCAGGGAGGGGGGAGTGCCAGGATGGACTACAGCAGGGGGAAGGCCCTGAGAGAGGACAGCATTAGCAGGGTGGGTTGGGCGGGGACGGGCCTTGGACCCAAGGAAGGAGACCTCCCATGTCCTCTCAGGCTGGGGGGGTGGGGCACAGCGCTGTCAGCTTCCCATTCACATTAGATACACCGCCAACATCGAGGGCTGGAGACTGGAAGGAGGTGGACACACAGTTTGATATGGAGTCCCACCACAAAGGGCAGGTCTTAGGGGCAGGTATGACTAGCCTGAAAGTCTGATGTCATAAGGCATGTTAGGGACACAGAAGGACAGGCATCCATTTATTTAAAAGGAGGATATTAGCAGGCAGTGGCGCTCACCTATAATCCCAGAGGCTCAGGAGGCTGAGGCAGGAGGATCGTGAGTTCAAAGCCAGCCTCAGCAACTTAGCAAGGCCCTAAGCAACTCAGCGAGACCCTGTCTCTAAATAAAATATAAAAAAAGGCTGGGATGTTGCTCAGTGGTTAAGTGTCCCTGGGTTCAATTATTGGTACCAAAAAAAAAAAAGGAGGGTGTTGTCTATGAATTACAGAGCCAGTGCTGGGCAAAGAGGGAGGCTGGGTGAGATACAGAGGTGTTTGCCACCATGAGGAGGTCACAGAGGGCAGCTCCAGTGGAGAAGCCACCCCAGAACCCCCTGGTCTAAAGTTGTTTCCATCACTGTCGCCAGCCAGTGCCTTTATTCAACAACTCTGCACTGGTGTTTGGATCTGAATTCATAGACATGGTTAATGGCCATGACTTTCACCTCAAGTCTGAGAGGAACACAGGAGGTAATTCACAGACAGTCCTGGGCATGGTACCCGCTGCCATCAGCCCTATACAAATGGTCATTGCTATGGTGCTTGAACTACAACAGTGGCCAGGACCAGCCCCTGTCCTTAGCAGACTGGCAGCCTGGGATGAAGTGAGGGAGCAGACTCCGGTAAATGGTCCAGCCAGCTGGTTAGTGTTAGCTGAGATGGGGCAGGGCTGATGGGCCTGGCCTGAGGGGTGGCCAGAGGAGGTGATAGCTCTGAGGAGTTGCAGGATGAGAGCCTAGGGTGTGTGAAGGTGGGCCAGTCTTACAAGACATTCAGTGTGAGATGTCACCATGGAGGTCAAGGACAGCAAATGCAGGTTTCAAATCAGCTGAGCTGCTGCGGGAAGGGACTCGGGGTGCATCTGCAGGCCCTTGCTCGCCAGGCCTGCCTCTCTCACTGGTTGCCCTGGAACACACCTCCCTCTGCCAGGGCTGTTCCCTTGCCAGTGGGCCGCTGTGGCCCATCTTATGGACCTACGATGGTCACAGCCTAATGATGGTTGCCTTCTCCCTCAGATACGAGGAGGCATCTCTACCTGATGGCCTGGCAAGCAGTGGGTCGCCGTGACCATCATGCACAGTGGTAACGCCAGGCGTCCCCCGCGCCGCTACTGAACCCGGCCACAAGTTCAAGCCCAGCACCCCCCTGGCCACGCCATGAGTCACGGGCCAAGTCCCCGACTGGCCGAGTCCCCGCAGCTATCCAAGGGCAGCCTGCTGACCATCCTGGGCAGCCCGTCGCCCGAGCGCATGGGGCCGATCGACTCGCTGCCCCCCACGCCACCCAGCGGCACGCCCTCGCCGGGGCCGCCGCCCGCGCTGCCCTTGCCACCGCCGTCCACGCTGCTGGCCGACGGGGACTGGGAGAGCCGCGAGGAGCTGCGCTTGCGGGAGCTAGAGGAGGCACGCGCACGAGCGGCGCAGATGGAGAAGACCATGCGCTGGTGGTCGGACTGCACGGCCAACTGGCGCGAGAAGTGGAGCAAGGTCCGCGCCGAGCGCAACCGCGCGCGCGAGGAGGTGCGGCAGCTGCGCCAGCGACTGGACGCGCTCACCAAGGAGCTGGCGGGTGCGCGGCGCGAGCGCCAGGAAGCGCAGGGAGAGTGCGAGGCGCGGGGCCGCGAGCTGGCGCTGCTGCGGGGCTCCCGAGGCGCCGCGGACAAGATACATGAAGGCCCAGAGCCGGATCCCGAGCGGGAGCATGAGCCGGTGCGCGACGTCGGGTCGGAGAGGCCCCAGGGCAGCCAGGTGCGCGGAAGTCCGGTTTGGGAGGAGGTGCCAGCCTTTTGCCTGGGTCTGGAAGTGAGTGAGGCTGACGGACCTGGTCAGAAGTCAGGGCTGCAGGGCTCGAAAGGAGCTGGTGAGGGCCAGGCCACCTGGGCGGCGGGGGTGGTCTGCAGGTTGGGCTCTGGATCACCTCCTTCCGTTGATCCTCAGGGGAGAGAATCCCAGGTTCTGTTGGTCCCTCTAGTCCCACACCTGAGAAGTCAGCAGAACCAGAGAACCCTCTCCTTTGAGCAGCAGGAGAGGGATTCCACAAAATCATTAGTACCAGAGCTGAATCTACTCATTTGTCAAACTTGAATAGCAAGGGGATGGTGATAACATGGACCAGTCTAGGCTGAGGGTGGGCTGTCAGGGCACTAGGAGCCACGGAAGAGGTCCCTGAGCCAGGCTGGGTGGGGGCAGTGGCAGGTTTAGAGAGGAGTTCCTGGAAGAGGCTACATTTTAGCTGACACTGGGAAGATCAGCAGGAATTAGCCATGGAAAATACCAGACGGCACTGAAACTGCAAAGATCAGAGGCTGAGAGGGCCTGGGGGGTTCGGGGAATGGCAACAACCGCCCCCTGGCCCAGTGCCTATGCCCAGTGCCTCTGCCTGCTAAACACTGCGTGCACATTACTTAGTCTATCCCCGCAGTCCTTCTAAGGACCCAGGGCACAGGAAGGGTCAGAACCAAGGTCCAAGCTGGTGATTAGAGTGGGTTTGAACCCAGGCCATCTGGCTCCAGATGCTGACAGTCAGTATGGCTGGAGCATGAATGGTCAGAGCCGCTGGGCCAGCAGGCCTGTTTCCAGAAGGCCACCTGAGGCAGGGTCCTGGTTCTGCTCCCCAGTTCCAGACCCAGACAGCCCCTTTCCAGACGAGCATCTTGGCAGCCCCTTGTCTGGGCCCAGCCCCCTCTCTGTGGGCTAGAGTGGGCACTGCCACCTCTGGTGACGGAGGCACCTCTCCCCAAGTTGGCCTGGTATTTGCAGAGGTTCCCGTCCCTTTTAGGGCCTCACAGTGCTGCTCCTGCCTAATATTCATTCTGGTTATGATCATAGTCAGGAGGCTGTGGGGACCGGGGGCAGAGCCCTGGGTCTGCAGTCTGAGCTTACACTCTTGACAGCCACTTCCGTGTCCTGTGATCCAGAACAAGTCCCTTCCCTCCCTGTTTCCCAATTTGTGAAAAGGGGATTTGGGCCAGGTGACATCCAGGGCACCCCACTCACGATAATCTGAGATCCAGGAGGAGGAAGAGATCACCCCTTGGGGACTCCCCAGAGCCACTGTCCTCCACGTACCTCAGCGTCTGCCCCTAAAAAACAGGACTGGAGAGCTGGGACTCCTCTGAGGGATCTTCCTAAGCCCTGGGAGGAACCTGAGCCTCGGCGTTGGTTCTGACCGGTGCCATTGTACGTCTGTGTGTGTCCAGTGACCAGGAAACGCAGCACCTTTCCTGGGGAGTCTCCCAGGATACAGGAAACCTTGGTGTCTGTCTGCAGTTCCAGGAGGTGAAGGGTGTCCCTCTTCCCAGAGACTCAAGGCAGGCTGCAGGAGCGGAAACCGGGCCCAGAGACACTGCGTGACTTCCACGCTGATCCCAGACCACGGTCTAGAAAGGCCAGGAGAAAGGCCTCCAGGGCCGGGGTTCAGTGGCCACTGCTGTAGCCCCCACCTTGGTCCCCACAGGACCTGGAGCTGGTGGAGACCCTCCTGAAGAACAGACCAGAGGAGCCCGAGGGCTGCTGGGAGGCTCGCAGCCTGGGGTCTGGGGGCCCTCGGGGCAGCTCCAGCCGCCAGGAGCGCAGCCGGCTACCCTGGGAGGACACCACCAGCACCGAGGAGGACACCTCCAAGCTGACCGCCCTGCGCCTGCGGCTGGACGAGTCCCAGAAGGTGCTGCTCAAGGAGCGAGAGTGAGTCGGGGGGCAGGCAGGGACTGGGGGCTGGGCCAGAAGGAAAGTCAGTGTGACGGCACCGGAGAGCTGCTAAGGTGCGGGTGCTATTCAGGCACAAGCCTTGGGTTTTGGAGGACCAAAGCAGGTTTTTCTTTATTCACCCTAATATTACATCTCACATCTGCTCTGGACGGGCGCTGTGCTCAGTCCTGACCACACGGCCATAAATAAGACAAGTCCCTGCCTTTGTGGAGCGTGTGTTCTGGTGGGGGAGAGAGTGATAGAGAGCTGTGTAGCCTGCACAAGGCCCTGGGTTTGGCCGCCAGCTCCACAGTGGGTAAAAGAACTAAACGCCTTTGTAAGGGTGAAGCCTGTGGTGATGCTTCTGCAGAGGTCATTGCTTCTTTGGCCAAGGAGTGGCAAAAGTGACCAGAACACCACCAAAAGCTAGGAGAGAGGCCTGAAACAGGTACCTTCTCACAGCCCGAGATAGGACCACCTCTGCCAGCATGTGACCTTGGACTTCCAGACTCCAAATCTGAGAGACAATAAATTGCTGCTGTTTAAGCCAAAAATACCAAACAAATGAAAATCCACCTAATGGTAATGGAGGTAGCTCAGTGGTAGAGCACTTGCCTCACATGCACAAGGCCCTGGGTTCAATCCCCAGCACTGCCCACCACCCCGCAATGTCCTAATTGAAACAGAAATACAGGTGTCTGCCTGCCCCTTCCTGTTCCTTTCCCAGGGATAAGATGGCCCTGAGCAGGAACATTGAGAAGCTGGAGGGGGAGCTCAGCCAGTGGAAGATCAAGTATGAGGAGCTGAGCAAGACCAAGCAGGAGATGCTCAAGCAAGTGAGTTGGGGACAGCGGGTCTTCCTGGAGGTGGCAGAAACACGCTGTTGAATCTTGGGAGTTGGGATGGGAGACAGAATAGAATTCATTCCTCAGTGGTTCTGGGTATCAGGGTACCTTCAGGAGGTTACCTGTGGAAGCCAGGGGCAGGGGGGTGGCAATAACCAGACGCATAATGTCATGAGACACAGGAGTGGCGGGCCAGGAAGGGCCTCTCTAAAGTGACATTTGAGGCCAGACCTCAAGGGGTTAGAAGAAGCCATCCTTCAGAAGGGATGGGAGCAGCTGTTCACAGCAAATGCGAACGTCCTGTGACCAGAACAAGCCTAGAGAGTGAAGGACACAGAGAAGGCCAGTGTTGCTGGAGAGTAGTGAGAGGTGAGGCCACAAAGTGGTCCAGATCTCACAGGACGAAGGGTGAAGGAATGGAGTGTGATGTTCCTTGGGTGCCTGGTGTGTGCTGGATCTCGTGGCAGTCGAAGGAACTGGTCCTCACATCCCCATATTACAGAGGAGGAAACTGAGGCTCAGTAGAGGGGAGTGACCACTGCAATTAGGGGTCTCAGGAAAGGCTGGGCTGCCACTTCTGCCTCCTGTGCAGACCTCAGTGGCCACCAGGGGGCACAGCCAGCCAGGGAAAGCCAGGCTGGATCCACTGGGTTCCCAGAGGTGGGAGGACCTGGGACGATGCACAACCTGAGGCTGTGCCCTGGAGGAGTCTGGTCGTCCCTTAGAACCTCTTAGGGAAGCTCCTAAAAGTCCAAGAAGCAGACCCCCTCCCTTCCTTCCTGAATCATCCATCATCTTAGGGGCTTGAGTCCAGAACCCTACCTCATTAATCTCCTCAACTTGTGAAGAGTAATCATTTGAAGAAACATGAGTGAAACACAAATACACAGTTTAGCAGAAATTCTCTGTCTTGCATCTGGGGCCTTTCCCTCGGTGTGATTAAGTCTCATTGTCAAGCTCACGTGGAGCAGCAGTATGCCGGGTCCCACTGGTGGCCAGCAGGGAATGGTAGTATTTTAAAAGCACCCCGACCGATTCTGATGCACCTGCTTGCAGAGCCGTGTTTAGATCAGTGCATGCTGAGGGTTGCTGTACCTAGGCCACACAGGGACACAGAGACAGAAGATGGACGTGCTGCCTGTCCCCTCAACTTGCAATTCCAGTGGGCCACTAGGCCGGGTGGCCGGGAGAGGCCTCCTCAGGGTGGGGGCCTTTAGGCTATGGCCTAGGGATAAAAAGAGTCAATCCTGCAAAATACCTCAGAATGTTCCAGGCACACATGCAGAGTCCACGTGATAGGCAGGAACTCGAGTAATCGAGGGGACAGCGGTGGGAAATGAGGCTGAGGAAAGCGGACGAGACTCCCATTGTGCAGGACACCTGAGATCACAGGAGTTGGATTTGTCCCAAGTACCCCCTGGGAGCCATCAAAGGGGGTTTTGGTGTTGCGGAGGGGGGGGGCCATCCTTTGGAATTTGGCCCTCTTCAAAGCTCCGGCTGGGGCCCTGTCCTGGAGAATGGCGAGGAGGCCACGGTGAACCCTGGGGGGCTCCATGGTAAGGGGCAGGAAGCGGGCGACAGTGGAAATGGCAGAGTGGTCAGAGTCAGGGCCTGTCTGGACACCTGTCCCCACGTGGGCACGGCCAAGGCTCTCTGCTGAGCACCTCCCCAGGCGTGTTAGGGATGGATCCCGCGGTTTTCTTGTAAACAGGCTGGGCGGTGTCCTTGCAGCTCAGCATCCTGAAGGAGGCGCACCAGGACGAGCTGGGCCGCATGTCCGAGGACCTGGAGGACGAGCTGGGCGCGCGCTCCAGCATGGACCGGAAGATGGCTGAGCTGCGGGGCGAGGTGAGCGGCCCGGGGCACAGGGGCCCCGCCATCGGCAGTCACCGGGAAGAGCCGAGCCAGGCCTGCTCTGGTGGGTGGGTGGGGGTCAGCCACGCCCCCAAGATCCCCCAGTCTGCAGGGATCCCCCCAACGCCTCGCAAAGACCATAAGCGCCCCACATCCTGCGCACGTGGAAGACGCTCGGCTTAATATAGCGGCTGCAGCTGGATCTGACTTCCTGCAGCCCAAACCGGCTCGGGGCGGTGGGGGCCTCCAGCCCCCTCCCCCAGGGGCTCACTCGGTCCCGGCTGTCGCAGATGGAGCGTCTGCAGGCCGAGAATGCGGCCGAGTGGGGCCGGCGGGAGCGGCTGGAGACGGAGAAGCTGGGCCTGGAGCGGGAGAACAAGAAGCTGCGCGCTCAGGTCGGTGACCTGGAGGAGGCCCTGGCCCGGCGGCGGCGACAAACAGCCAGCGCCCTGGACTGCGACCTGCGGGCCAGCCAGGCGGCGCTCTTCGAGAAGAACAAGGTGCCCATCCAGAACCCCCACTGTACAGGTTGAGGGTCCCTAATCCACAAACCTGAAATCTGAAAGGCCCACCAGCAAAGGCCACCCCTGACTTGATGGTCCCAGTCAGAACACAGGTCCATCAGAATGCTGTATGAGATTATGGTCGGCCCCGGTGAGGGAGGCATGAGGTGTAGAAGAAACACAAATTAATTTCATGTGCAAGCTGTGTGTGGTAGTATGCACCTGTAAACTCGGCAGCTCAGGAGGCCGAGGAAGGAGGATCCAAGTTCAAGACCAGACTCAGCAACTTAGGGAGACCTTGTCTCAAAATTCAAAAATTAAAAAAAGAGATAGGATGTCGCTCAGTGGTAAAGCACCCCAAAGTTCAATACCCAGTGCCAATAAAATAAAATTCACCTTTAGGCTTAGGTCCCATCCTCAGAATACCTCATTGCATGCATATAAAGATTGCAATATTTGAAATATGAAACACTTTAGGTCCCAAGCCTTTTTGATGAGAGAAGCTCAACCTATAGTTGCATTTATTGAGTCCCCCCCGTATGCTAGACCAGTTGGTTTAGCAGCCACATTTATTGAGCACCTACTATGGGTCAGTCCCAGTGATACATAGTAGCTGCATGTATTAAGCACTTGCTTAGGTGCTGGGGACGTAGCAGTGAGCAGACAGGTGGCTGACCTCTCCGCCCCTCCCGGAGCTGGTAGCTCAGGAGATGCAGGCATCATTCTCACTGTCATATATGCTCATACTGGTCACAGCTCCAGAGCTGTGGCAGGAAGAGAGGCTACCCAGAAACCTAGCTTAGGCCCAGGGTCCTGGAAAAGCTCCCTGCAGTCAGTGAGGTTTGAGCTGAGTCTTCAAGAAGAGCAGAGGTTAACTGGTAAGCTAACTTGGTTGGGGGGAGGAGAGAACTGGAGAATAATGAGAATGATTAGGGCAGCACGGCTGGAGGGGGTGAGCAAGGGGACCAGGGTACATGAGGCAGGAGGTGAGCTGGGCACAGTGGCTCACACCTGTAATCCCAGTGACTCTGGAGGCTGAGACAGGAGGATCACGAGTTTGAGGCCAGCCTGAGCAACTTGGCAAGACTACCTCAAAATAAAAAAGGGATGGGGATATAGCTCAGTGGTAGAGCATCCCTGGGTTCAATCCCCAGGACCACAGAAAATAAGTAAATAAAGCAGGAGGCAGGTGTGGGCAGGCTGCCCTCCCTCTTGCCCACTGTGCTGGGTGGAGGGCCAGGGGAGGCCGTTGCTGCGCCCAAGGAAGCGAGAAATGACGGAGACAGGAACCAGGATCAGGTTGGCAGAGAGAAAGGATGATGCTGTTTGCAGAAGGGAAAACAGATTCCAGTGCTGAGGGCTGGGCACCTTTGCTGGCTGGTCCTCCTCTTCCGGGCACTCCCACCTCTGACCTCTTTTCCTCAGATGCCCTCTCCCCAGCTTCAGTCACCCTCAGACCCAGCTTTGTAAATGCTCTGTCCCTCCTGAGAAATCCTGCCCTGCAGCTCCACCATCTGCTGGGCATCCTGGAGCATCTCAGTTCCTCGTCTAAAGGGGAGCCGGGTCCTCCACAGCCCAGTCTTCTCCTTCCTGGCCTCATCTCCCAAGCCTCCAGACCTCCCTAGATGGCACCTCCACTGCTCTCCAGACCATAATGCCCATGTGTTGGCAGCAGGAAGAGGAGACGCCCCACTCCCCTAGAGCTGCTGACCCCCAGGACTCCCTGGCCCAGCGCCCAGTGACACTGGGTCCTCCCTGTCCCCGCCCCCACCCCCAGGAGCTGGCCGACCTGAAGCACGTGCACGGCAAGCTGAAGAAGCAGTTTCAGGAGAAGGTGGCGGAGCTGGCGCACGCCAACCGGCGGGTGGAGCAGCACGAGGCCGAGGTGAAGAAGCTGCGGCTGCGGGTGGAGGAGCTCAAGAAGGAGCTGGCCCAGGCTGAGGACGAGGCGAGTACTGCGGCCGGGCAGCTGTGGGTCCCCAGGAGGAGTGGGACTTCGGGGCCCAGCTGTGCGCCGTGCTGGGGCCCTGGGAGCTGGCGCAAAGTCCTCGGGTGGTGGGTAGGGGAGTGACAGGTGGATGCATGGACAGGCGGGGCGGGGCCAGGAGGGTGGGGAGAGGAAGACCAGGCAATGGCAGGTGAGTGGTGGATGGACCAGGGGTGGGCGGCACAAATAGAGGACCAGGAGGGTGCCCCGGGGGGACGAACAGGTGGATGGGAGGAGGAGAAGGGAGGGTGGACAGAGGGGCTCAGAGAGCAGCTCTCTGACACTGGGGGAAGGATCGGTGAACTCCAGGTGTACAGACAGACAGCTCCTGGATGCGTAGACCGTGGTCAGATAGCTGGACAGCTGACCACATCCATGGGCAGAAGAAGGAGTGAACAGAGGGAAGGAGGGAGGGCTCGTGGGGGTGGGGGTGTCGGGGAGGTGGGCACAGGACGAGGCGGGTGGAGCGCGCTGATTAGGTTTTCCATAGTGAGGGGAGTGGGCATTCCATGCAGGCTGAGGGGACAGGTGGGTGGACCAGTGGCTGGGGACACTGGAGGATGAGTGGATTGGGGAGGGCACAGGAGTGACAGCACCTCAGGCCAGGCCTTAGGAGCAAACACGGCCCCACAGTGGAGGGGAGGAGTGTCTGGCCTGGCTGTCCCTGCCCACAGTGACCCCTGGGCTCTGGTCCCTGCTCACCCCGCAGCTGGACGAGGCCCACAACCAGGCGCGCAAACTGCAGCGGTCCCTGGACGAGCAGACGGAGCAGAGCGAGAACCTTCAGGTGCAGCTGGAGCACCTGCAGTCCAGGTAGGCCACAGGGGCCTCTGCGTGGCCAGGGCCCGCGGCCCAGGTGTGGCTCAGGGAAACCTGCCCGGCCCGGAGCCCCCCCAGAGCCAGAGCAGGGACGGGGAAGGAAGGGTCCTGGGGCCCAAATCCTGTCCCTTCCAGACCGGAAGGGCCAGGGCCAGGAAGCCAAGGGGGGTGCAGGAAGCCACAGCAGCTGGAGGCCTGGATCGGCAGGCTGTGGGCGGGAGCAAGGGCAGGAAGCCTGGCCAGAGAGGTCAGGCCCGAGGAGCAGAGCCCTGGGAGGGCCAGCAGGCTGGGCATCGTGGACAGAACAAGGAGCCCCCAGGGCTGGGGTGACTCCAGGCCAGCAGGGATCTGAGGGTTTGGAGGCCAGGGAATACAGAGGCCCTGCCCTAATATCAGGCGAGACCTTCAGTGCCAGCAGGACCATCAGCCCCTACAGTGAGACAGAGGGTCTCTGACAGAGGCACACTCTGCCCTCTGAGAGTCACACCTTCTCCCTGCACTTCCCCTAATGCCAGGAGATGGTGGAGAAGTTCAGGGCCCTGCCCTCCCCATTCCCACAGCTGGGAAGCCAGGGCCACAGGACTGACCCGCATCCCTCCCTGTGCCCGGCACTGGCCAGGCCGTCACCTGCCTTCTCTTACCTGCAGCCAGGCTGCCTGGGTGGTGGAAGGTCCATGCTCTGTGCTGAGGCACTTGGTAGTCTTAGGTCACTTAACGTCTCTGGCTCAGTTTCCCCAACTGTAAAATGGGGGTGAGAATAGTTCTCACCTCGTGGCCATTGGGAGAATTCAGTGGGCTGATTCATGCTTATGAAAGCGCCTGGCGCAATCAATGCTGATCTAACTGCTGCTGTTACTACCACCATGACTACCCCGGCTGCCGGTTAGATACTGTGCCAGAAGCAGCCTGTTCCTTCTGAAAGAGAAAGGAGGGAAGGGGTCTTTTTTTCGAGGGGGCAGGCAGAGGAGGAAACTAAGGCCCAAGAGAGAAAGCCCTTGCACAGCCACGCAGATGGCAGGCGGCCCTGCAGGGTCACCCCGTCATCAGCAGCCCATATTTATTGAGCATGTATTATGTGAGGCCGTGCGCTCAGCTCACGGCTGAGAGTCCAGGCTCTGGACAGCGCTGTGCTGTGGCTGACTGAGCCTCAGTTTCCCCAGCTTCGTGAGATGATGATGCCCTTGGTGTCGCGCAAGGGCCCACCAAGGGTCAAGCCCAACCTGGGCAGACTGCCTGTCCCACGCCGCGCACACCCCTCCAAAGGCCTTCTAGTCCAGGGCTTCCTCGCAGTCTCAGCCACATTCTTCAGGGGCCAGAAACTCTCACAACAGGCGGGCGCCTCCCTGGGGCCGGGCAGGGCCACCCAGCACCGCTGCCTCGTTTTAGCTGCCCACTTTTTATACTTTAATGTTCGGAGACAGCTCACAAATCACTGCGCGGTAATGGAGCGCCGGCCCCTCCCCGCCCGTTAATAATTCATGCCTTCCAGGAAGCCGCCGGGCGGGGCGGGGCGTTTCCTCCCTTGGCTCTTGTTAGAGGCCAAGTTGGCCTTCACGTTTTTGGCTTCAGGAATTTTGACAGGAGGACCTAGGGCTGAGCACCTTCCCGCTGACCTTGGGAAGGTGAGGGGCTCAGACCCCCCCTCCCTCCCCCACCACCAAACCCTGCTCCTTCTGCTCTTGGAGGCTGGCCTGGGACCCCGGCCCTGCAGTGTGACCTCAACCAGGTCCTTACCTCTCCAAGCCCCCTCCCCAGAGCCCAGCCCCATGGCCACCTGTCCCTGTGACTGGGGGCACTCACTCAGCGTCTTTGGGCCCAGTTTCCTTGTCTATAATTAGGCTGACAGTAGCTCCTCCCTGAGTCCCCACCAGGGACAGAGCAGAGGTCACACAAGGTGCTGGCCGCTGTCAGGGCCTGGGGAGGCTGCAGCCACTATCAACCCAACTGCAGCCACGTTATCAGGAGGTGGCAGACCCGTGCTGACCCGTCACCCTCTGCCCCCCGCAGGCTCCGCAGGCAGCAGCAGAACGCCCCCCTCTTCGGGAAGATCCGTAGCACCCGCTTTGGCACCGAGGAGGCCGGGGATGGAGCCAGTGACCTAGATGAGGACGAGGACCTGCAGATCCAAGTGGCCTAGAACTTCCCAGGGCTGGGCAGGACTGGCTGGAAGCCACAGACCCCCAGGCTGACCAGCCACATGAAGGGGCACAGCTGCCTGTGCTGCCGTGGGTGCAGACACGGCTCCCACCACGGACCATCCCTCCCTCCATGGCCTCACAGGACGCCTGGGGAAGGGACTCCTGCCTCATGTATGTCATATGCACGTCCAGGACTGTGTGGGCCCAATCCAGGTGACCCCAGCATCCAGGATTTACGCAGGGTGGAGCCTGTCCGGGGAAGGTTGCTGGGGTCCCCACTGGGCTGCCTTGGTGGTCTGGCAGGAGCTGTTCATAATACATGCGAAGAACCCAGTCTTTTGTAATAAATGGAGTTCAAGTTCTTGGGGCAGAGTCCTAAAAATGTGGCTGACCCAGGAGGGGACATGGGGGTCAGCGTCAGCCTGCACCTGACACTGAACCAGAGCTCAGGAGCATCAAGTGACATGATTTTTTTATGAATGAGCCCACCGCCGTGTCGCACGCCTGTAATCCCAACAGCGGCTCGGGAAGCTGAGGCAGGAGGATCGAAAGTTCAAAGCCAGCCTCAGCAGCAGCGAGGCGCTAAGCAACTCAGTGAGATCCTGTCTCTAAATAAAATACAAAATAGGGCTGGGGTGTGGCTCAGTGCTCTAGTGCCCTTGAGTTCAACCCCCAGTACTCCCCCCAAAAATAAATAAAAATTTAAAAAATGAATGAATGTGAGAAGGAAGGAAGGAAGGAAGGAGCATCCTAGCTGGAAGGAGGAGATGCTGTGCGCAGCCATGTGGAAAAAGTGGAGACTGCACTTCTGCTACCTGATGGTTCAAATTTCTACTCTGGTCCTCACTGGCTGTGCAGTCTCAGGAAAGTTACTTGTCCTCTCTGAGCCTTAGTTTCCCCAAGTGGTCTCACACAATGACAGTCTTCAAGAGAATTTGATGAGTTTCTCCAGAGACATAAAGGTTAGTTATTATCAAAGCACTTGGGGGTCTGCCCTGGACAGGAGGGAGTGGCCAGCTGGGCACAGGGATGAAATGCAGGTGATCAATGGCAGTTCACCCAGAGGGAGGTGTGGCACAGTCAGTACTGTGTCGTAAGCACATTAAACATAGACACAGTAGTAATGGGGAGCTGTGTCTGTACCCTCTTTCCCTCAGCTCCGCTCTAGGAATAGTAACATTACAGGTAATTTTATTTTATTTTTTTAAATTACAATAATTTTATGGCCACAAAATTATAATAATTTTTATTCATTTACCTTTATATGGTGCTGAGGATCGAACCCAGGGCCTCACACGTGCAAGGCAAGTGCTCTGCCACTGAGCCACAGCCCCAGCCCTTATTTTATTTTTGATGTTTAATTTTGAAACTTTCCATAACCAGAAGATCATCGCAACCCTGATGGGAGTGGTTGTTGGGATCACCGTAGTGGGAACCTTTCTAGTCAAGGTGGGACTCAGGGGGGACCTGCCTCTGGGGTTGAAGTGCTTTGGGCGAATTCTGAGCCACCAGGGCTTGCTTCCTGTGGGAGGCGGCATTGTTGGGGAGGCCCTAGCAGAAGGGGGTGAGGCCCTGTTTCCTGGGGTGTGCAGGAGAGGCGGGCTGAGCCCGGCACCAGGAGTCTGGTAAGGCTGAGGAAGGGGCTCCCCACCAGGGGGAGGAGTGCATTAAATGTGGCCTAGTGGTGAGGTCTCCCTGAGGCCAAGTGCTGGGGCCCAGGGACACCCCAGCCCTGGGCCCAGGAGGAGAGCAGAGGCGGCCCAGGAGCCCAGCCGGGAGCTAAGCCTGGCTAACGGTGCCAGCCAGTGGGGTTTGCTGCTGCGGAGGCAGAGGTCCCAGGGCCCCTGGGGGATGACTTCCCGCCCCTCCATCCCCCACCCTGAAGTCGCCACAGCAGGGAAGGGACCATTTCCTGCCAAACAGGAAGCTGGCCCGAGGATGGCTCAAAGTGCTGCCCTTTGACCCCAGGAGCTAGGAGCCACATCCTTGCTGGTAGCAGCCCTGGGAGCCACCTCCACCTGCCCGGCCACCCCAGACACAGAACAGGCCCCTTCCGGGCTCCCAGACTGCCCGGCATGGCACCCGGGCGAGATTGGGTTGAGCCGGGCCCCCTACAGCCCATCTCCCCCCAGGCTGCACCCGGAATGGCAGGAAAGGGCCGCCTCCCACCCCCACTGTGGAGGGGCAGCTCAGCCGGGGTCCCCTGGGTCCCTGCTCCAGCCCCCTGCGCTCCCCTCCCTACAGCAAGCCTCCCAGTGGGCAGGGCGCGGCGCCTGCCAGAAGAAGCATTAGCTTTGGCTCAGATGATGCTTTAAAAAAACCTTTAATGCATGGCTAATATTAGTAATGGGAAGTTTTCACATAAAAGTGTGGGTTTCTCTCTCCTGAGGCATCAGCACCTCTGGCCACTCCGGGCTCACGCTCCCCCACGGCCAGAGCTGCTGGGCAGAGAGACATGTCTCCTTGGAATGCTGTAGGCAGTCCCCACCCTTATCCGACCTTACCTGCACCCATCTCCTCTAGATCTCTGCCCCAACCTTGCAGGAACTTGAGCGTGGTGCGGCCTCTGGCCGAATCCAGTTTCCCTTGGAACAGTGGGGAGCCCTGGAGTGACCGAGAGGAAACACACAGAGCCAGGTCAGTGCCAGATACAGTCAGGATACATGCACATCATGCACGGCTCAGCACTGTCCCAGGCTCCCGACAGCACAGAGGTGACTGCCAAGAGCCACACTGGGTGCCTCACATGCCGTGTGTCTTGCTGATCTTTCCCAACAGCCTCAGGAGGCGGCTATTATCATCACCAGCCCAATTTATGCTCAGAGAGAGCAAGTAACTATCCCAAGGTCACACAGCTGATGAATGATCTCATGAGACAGGGATCCCAGGTCAGGCAGCCTGTGTCTAGAGTCCACCCATGCCACCCTCTGGGGCAAGGCTGCACATGGCCCCTGCACCCCACCCACTCCACTGCAGCCTCAGCCAGGCCCAGCTCCACTCATTCCTAGAGTACTAGTGGGTTGCTGCCTGCACAGTGCCCTGGGTTTAGTGGGGATCTTCGAGTGTTAGCAGACAGGGAAGAGGGAGGAGGGAAATGGTGATGGATGGTGGAGGGAAGATGGGTGGTGGAGATGGTAGAAGGTGGAAGCCGGAACCCAGCCCCTGGCTGGGGCTGGACAGCTGCTTTTCTCCTAGAGGGCAGCCGCCAGGGGGGCACTGAACGCCGTAGCCCCGGGCAGTGGTGCCAGGGCCTCTCCTCCAGGCCTGGAGTGCCCAGACTGGCTGCAGAACCAGTGGGGCCAGACCCAGCCTGACCAGCCTCCTCCCCTGCAGTCTGCCCTTGCACTCCAGCCAAGGTCATTTTGCCCAACCTGACTACCAGACAGCCCCTCCTTGGTCCAAAGCCAGGCATTCAAACCACAACCCTCCAGACGAATGGGGCTTCTGACCCAGGCTGCTCTCCAGTTAGCTGTGTGTCTTCTGCTAAGCTGCCTCCCCTCTCTGGGCTTTCATTTCCTTATCTGTAAAATGGGAACCACAACAGACTGGTCCGGGTCGACCAAACCCACATCCAGCGTGACTTCGCTGTTCATGTTACCTTTCTGGCCTTTCCTATGGCTGTGAAGACCCCAGGAGCTTGTCTGCCTGGGAGACCTCTAGCCCCGCCAGGCCGAGCCTCTGGGGCCGTAGGTTGGGGGCTGGAGGCAGAGGCAGGACCCAGGAGCCAGCTGCAGCCCTCAGCCTGCTCCGCCCCCACCTGGCTCCTCTGCCTCCTTCCCTAATTGCAGGGTTGCTAGACGCCAGCTGCCTCCGGGGCCCCAGGCGGGCGCCTCCCAATGGAGCAGGGGCTCCCTGGACGGCTTCCCCTGCCCCCTCCAGCCGAGCTGGGGAGGTTCCGTGCTCAGAACCCTCGGCCTCCTCCCCTTCCCACTTCCAGCCTCTGCCCCTATCCTCCTCCTCCAGGAGCCCTGGCCTTCCCCTCTCCAATCAGAGGACCAGCCGCTTTCCACGGCCCCACAAGTGCCCCCAGACGCTGGCTCACCCTGGAGCACTTTCTCCCAGGGCTCTCGGTGCCTGTCACTCTGAGATACAGTCCAGACGGGCCCTGGGTGAGCCCCCTCACCCCAGCTTCCCCAGCACCGTCTCTTCAACTGCTCATGGCCAGGTCAGACTGGACACCAGATGCCTTCACAGGGATTTAGGGACATGCCTGGACTGCCCCACTCTTGAGGACAGGGATAGGGGTCCTGCCTGCAGGAACCGGAATCTCCCCATGAGGGGAGGGACAGGGTCAGCTGGGCTCAAGCTTCTCTGTTCTGCCACAGAATAGCAATCTTCACAGCTGCCCAGGAGATGGACGACAGCGAGATGGGGAACCTGAGGTCCAGAGAGGGACAGGACCCACCAGCAAGTGACAGGAGTAGGGTTCAAATCCCGTCAACTCAAAGAGCTGGCATTTGGGGCTACAGCCTTCAGCTCAGGTCTGAGCCTGGTCCCAGCAGGTTCTGGGTAGGTGCCAGGGAGAAGAGGAAGGAGGGGCAGGGAAGTGGGGGACAGAGCCAAAGAGGCACCAAGGAGCTGGAGGGACGTCCCCAAGCCCTGTGCCCCTAGATCACTCCGCAAGCCCTTCCTCATCCCGAGTCTCACCCATCCTCGTTACCCAGTTGCAAACACTGAGCCACACGGCTTCTCCCAGTGTGCCTAGCAACTGCATCCTGGGAGCCCCAGATACTCCCAATAGGATTTTTAAAAAATCCTTTATTTTATTTATGTATATGTGGTGCCGAGGATTGACCGCAGAGCCTCACACATGCTGGGCAAGCGCTCTACCACGGAGCCGCGACCCCAGCCCCTCCAATAGGATCTTAATCCGTTGCCCCTTTATTAAAATAACTCCGGAGGATATAGATCCGTGATGGACCATTTGCCCAGTGTGTGAAGCACCCAAGAAATAAATTTACAAAAACTCTAGAGAGGGCACCCCAACCCTATGTGGGTTCTCCTCCCTGCTAACTAAGCAAGAAGCTCGGCCTCTGAGCCTCAGTGTCCACGGTTGTAATCTAGGGGTGTTCTGTGGGGAGTAGAAGGAGGGGTCAAGACCCCAGAGGTGCAGTTGTTCGTCCGCCCTTGGTTGTCCAAGGGCACCTGTCCTGACCCGTGTCCCCGCCACCCCCCATTATCCAGGTGGGGAAAGTGCATTTGTTCAGCTGGGCCAGGGATCCACTGTCCCCCATCTGCGGCTGCAGACTTGGCCCCACCCAGCCGCTCCCCTGGCCCAGCCAATCCCGGGAGCCTCCCCCTGAGGCCTGGGGGCTCTTCACTGCAGGAAGGGCTGTCACCTCAGAGAGCAGGCAGCTCTGTCTGCTC